TGAATTTCCATCTGGTATTTTCCCAAGCTATCGGAGTGCTTGGTTCTCGGACCATACACTTCTATTCCAGTTCCTTCTATGGTTTTGGAACCATCCGTATACCACTGAATAGCACGTCTTTCGGTTGCAAGCGCGATGGATTCTTGGCTCCATTCTTTCTTGCAGCCCAACTCTGTGGTTTTGAAAATTTTCACAAAACTGTACTTCTTTAGCATTTCATCCTGGGGCATGTCCCAGGTACCTTTAGTCCTGAAGCAAGTAGACTTTCGTCTGATTACTCCGTTCCTGATCATTCTATATCGTGGTCTTTTTGCCACATTCTCTATCATCAAATGTAGAGGTGTGAGGTTTAAGATCACCTCCATAGCGGCCGTAGGACAGGTTCTCTTTGCACCAGTAATGCAAACACAGGCTAGTCTTTGTACTTTTGAGATATTAGCTCTCGTAGTAGCTAAACTAGTTCTGTTACTCCAGGCCATAGCCCCGTAACTGATGATTGATCTCACTATTGCAGTATACATCCATCGCAGTATGTTTGGGTTACATCCCCATCGTTTACCTGCAATATTTCTGCATACCATTAGGGCTTTTGTGGCCCAATTTACTACTTCCTTCTCATGTGTTCCAGAGAAGTTTGTTGTCCAGGGTTAGGTCTAGATATTTGACTTCATTTTTCCATTCTATATATATCCCGTCTAATTTAACGGTTTTGAGATTAAGTTTTCTTTTCCTTGAAAAAGCTTCTAGTGTTGTTTTTGTTGGGTTAATACTAAGTCCCATTTCACGGCACCATCTTTTGATAGATAACTAATGCAGTACCTAGCCAACCTTAGTATGACCCATTTTAAGTTTTAAACAAAAGGTGAATGCCCTACGACGTTTTTTCCAATCGTTTTATTTGCCAAATTTCTCATATGGGTCCATCCAACTTTATAGAACATAATATATAAATAATTTGTGAAAAAATTTCAAAAACACAAAATCTGTCAACCACAGGATCTTTAATTTGATATTTTCAAAAGCTGCTTGCAAGCGCTTTCAACCTTATAAGGTAATTTTCATGCAAAAAAGGTAGAACAATCTGCAATAACTTAAAGTTAGATACCTAATTACAAAATTAACTAAATGTCTTACCAATAGAAGAAATTCATAAGCTTAAAATATATAAAACTACATTTAAATAAAAAAATGAATAAAAAATTGAAGGCGATTTCCACCACATTTCCATTCCGGCTTATATGCTTAACAGAATATCGGATTACAGTGTTATACTTTACGTTACATATAAATTTGTTCTGCCTCCATTTAATGAAGGTGCCATCAAAAAAGATTAAGGGTGAAATCCCATAAATTAGTTGAGGACTCATTGTGGGAGGCGTAAATTTATGATTACAATTAAAACTATAACTCCTCCGCCTATCCCAAGAAATAAGGGGCTAGGTACAATAATAACACATGACATATGACAAAAGACAAGTAGTTTACCAATGATAATAAAGTGATTTAATTATAACACTAAAATTTGAAATTTTTGAAGTTAAGTAAAGCGAGTTTTTTATAGCATTATTTAAAAAAATATCTATCCAACCTCTTCCCTAGTATCTTGCCTGAAGATATCAAAAATCTTCTTTTTGAAAATGATGTTTGAACCCATGTTGTTTTAGATATATTACTCATTGGACACTACACTAAATAAACATTTTTTTTTTAATTTTCAGGCAAACTTCAGGTTTGTTTATGGGTTCCAACCTCCCACCCTTTTTGGCTGATGGTTTCGTGAACTATTTTGAACAAAAATTCATTTTAAATAAGACTTTTTTGAAACAAAATCATTTTTTTATCATCGATAAGTATATGATGTACTCATATTATTTATTGGTTTCTTAGTACATAAATACCTTAAATCCTCGTATTAACCCTTCGTTCCCACACTTAATTTTTTACATGCAACACGCACTGGGGTATACGCCACCCCAAGCTTATTTATTAATAATAATAATAATAATAATAATAATTGAACTTACAAGTATTAAAAGTAATTTTAAAAAACCCACTTCAAAATCGTGCAGATGCCATAACCACATCTGAACTAAATTTATATGGGACCACCCCTGAGGTACCCTCTTACTAATAAAAAAAGAAACAGAAATCGGACAAAGTGGTAAAGAAATATCGCCAAACATACATAAAAAAATGAAGAGTTTGAGGATTTTATTATGAACCCAATTATTAGATTTTTACCAAATTTATATGGAACCACCCCTGAAGTAACCCATTTCTAACAAAAATAGAATTATTGAAATCGAACACCGTGTTAAAGAATTATCGCTGAACATGCATGAAAAAAAAAATGTACCGACGAACCTCCGCTTTTTTTTCGGTTAAAAAAGCAAAAGTAGTTTTTGATGGTATCTTTTAGATGCCAATAAACATATCTACATTTAAAACTAAAAAACTGATGATTCAGATGCTATTGTTTGACTTAAAAAGGTAAAAGACAATTTGTACTACATACTTTGTATTACAAATTAAAATATTAAATGCAATCTAAATAAACATATTCATTTAGTTAAGCTATATGCAAAATAGATAACTAAAGTTCGTTTTTGACGTCTTTCAAGATTTTGGGGCAAATCCGAGCTTCAATTAATTGTATCCGCTTTTTCAGTTTACGGCCGATAACCACAAAGCCTTTGGAGGTCTTTATTTAATTTTTTCTTCGCTACTTTGCTTAATTGTCATTCTTTTCATCAGAAGAAAAAGGTGTTCCAACTGTTTCTCTAGAAGTGGAAACCATTTCTATGTAAAAATAAAATACCATGTCAACAAAATATAATATTTAACTTAAAAATATATAACTCGCCACTACTTCAACATCCTACCGACAAAAAACAAACAATAACAATAATTTCTTACAACAACCACACACTGGGGAGTAAGATACCAAACCTATTATTTTAAGGGGTATAGACTAAACCTTCCTTACAGAATGACCCATATCGTGCACGTGTAGTGGTAGGAACTGAATTTTGATCATCGGTATCACTTCCAAACTTGAAGATAAAGAAATACCATTTATACAAAATTTTGCTTGGGTACATAATACCCCAGTGTGTGTGTGGAGGGTTAATTTTACTGTAAAATTTGAAAATAATAATTCCATACTATTTGTAGGTCGTTTTATTAATAAATAAAGCCTTTGTCACTCCTCTATTTCCAACTTCAATATGAGATAGATTTCATTAAACAACTTGCTAATATTAATGATTTCCCACTGTAACTTTTTAACACAATCTATTTCAAATTTATCAATAAATTTAAACTTTATTATCTCACAATACTCTTCCTCAATCAACTATTGTTCTTAGGTCTTGTTTCATGTGAGCTTGCTAAAATTTCTAAAAAAATTAACGTTAATATAGTTTTTAAAAGTGCCAACTCTATTTACTCACTTTTAGTTCATAATAAGGATGAGGATTTAAATCTTCTAATACCACTTATACCAATTCTTTATTTGCGAACCATATTTTGTATAATAAACATAATGCCACAATGTCCTAAAAAATAGTAAATTGGACTTGTTGGAGATGTATTACATTGACCAACATGTTAACCAATCTATATTTTCTAGATTGACTTCTCCATTAATACTCCGCACCTAATCCTCCGTTTCCTTATATATGCCCAATACATATTTCTTAATTCTTCTATTCAATTCACTATTATTTTCAAATTTGTATATGAATTATAACCTCAAAATTTAATGTCATGTAAATAGGGCATCTTTTTTTCTTCTTTTTACATTTATTTATACTTCTTTGTGGTTTATTGGCACACCATCCCCAACTGTAACCGCTCTGGAGTCTTTGACATTCTATCAAATGTTTGTTATTATGTTTCATTTTTCCAAAGATGTTATTTTTATACGACTTTGCTTACGCCCTTAGTCTAAGTGATGAAAACAAATATATGCCAAATTTCAAGAAGATTGGATAATATTTAGGGGTTGCACACATTGATCACTTTTATCACAAACTGGTGAAATTTCTAATATTAACTTGTTTTGTACTAGCGATCTTTGATCTTTACATGTATTTCTTTCATCTTTCGCAGGTAATTGAGCTTTAAAATGGGAATCAAAAGAGGAATTTGGTTGCTAAAAAAGATGCCTAGTAGTGAGTTTTTAGGAGCTCGGGTTCCTGCAAAGGAACAAGTACTGTTAGTTTTTATTTTAACATAGCGATATGAAAGAAATACTTTCGAAAGCTGTTAAATCGACCAGTACTAAACTACAGGAAGTGTGGAGGAAAGCAAGTATCACTGTTAAGACAGAGGAGAATATACGCGCTGGTATACAGAAGCTATATAAAGAATTCTAAAATCTAGGTAAAGAGAAATGTAGAAACATTGATAAAGCTAACATGAAACGGCAGATTTAAAAACGTGATCTTATCGAGTTATTTTACATTTCACGGCAAAATGTGATGGAAATTACAAGCTTATCGGAAGAAGATAAAGAATTTCTTAGATCACAAAAAGAAGACCGAATGAGTTCATCATTGACTGGAATAGACAAGGTTTTCGTCTCCAAAATAAGAACTAAATGTAAAAAAGAAGACAAAAATGATTCATTTAAGAATAAACATTACAGGGCTATAGCTAAAATGAATAAGACAGTAATACTGGAAGACTCATCTTAATCACCATCCGCACCTAGTGACGAAGAGGACGAATATTTGCCTCCAGCAAAGAAAAAATTACGTTCAAGTGCTAGATTAAAACCTTTGGATCAAACACCCACGTCTACTTGGGATCGGGAACAACTCTCTATTAGGCAAGCAAGTACCTCTTTTAGTCTTGCATTGGGATAGTAAATTGTTGTTTTCAGTTTCCCATGGGAATATCAAAACTTTGGAAGATTGAGTTGCAGTTCTAGTGACTGGCAAAGATTTTGAGCATTTGCCTGGAGTACCTGTTGCCCAAACGGCATCGGTGAGCAGATGGCTGAAGTAGTTATTCGGGAAAAGCACCGATTTGGGCTAAGTGACAATATCATTGGTATATCTTTTCATACTACATCGTCTAATACAGGACTGATCCAAGGGGCATGTACCAGAATTGAAAGGGAATTAGGACAAACATTGTTGTGTTTGACGAGTGTTGTAACATACCATCAAGTGGTCCTGAAATCCAGATCTTTCGAAAGTTCCATAAATATGTGGGCTTCACTGGATAAAAAGTCATATACGACAAAGCTGGATAAGATACGTCCCGTTCAAGGCTTTATAGAAGAACAACGAGTGAAAATGATTAACTACTTACAAAATGTCCTAAAAGATGGAAGTCATCCAAGAGAAGACTACAAAGAGCTATTACAACTATCACTTTTGTACCTAGGAGGTTGGTCTCAAGACGAATTCAGTTTCAGGATCCCAGGAGATCTGCATCAAGCAAGGTGGATGGAAAAAGCAATTTTTGCACTAAAAATTGTTCTCTTCGCTAAACAGTAAACGAGAATTGAAAGGAATGAAAAGGTTGCACATTTTGTCAGCCTCATATATGTTCACTTTTGGCACGAAGCAATTGTAAGTCGATGGAATCCAAAAAATGATTTGGATATATTGCAGCTGCTGAATATTTACCCAGGTATAGACGTCAAAAAAAGTGCTCTTACTTTTGCTGAGAGACACCTGTGGTATTTCTCAGAAACAAACGTAGGATTAGCTTTTTTGGATGAACGTATTAGTCAGATTGAAAAGGAAAATATGACTAAACATTTAGAAACCAAACCTCCAAATAAATATTAAATGAAACGATTAGACGGTAAAAACTTAGTTTTTGAACGAAAAGACCTGAGGCATTTCATCACTAGTAAAACAAATATGTTCTTTGAATTGTTTGGGATCCATAACGTGACATAATATTGCAGTGATTCTCTATGAAGTCAAGTAGACGCTCTTAAGGTAGTGAATGATACCGCAGAAAGAGAAATTGCTCGAATAAAGAAATTTAACGAATCGGTCAGAGATGAAGAACAAAAACAATTTTTGCTGAGGGTAGTGAAGCATCATAGAAAAATTGTCACCAAGCGAACTATATAAGGGATTGCATCGTTAAAGTTGAATAATATAAGACATGTTTTTCCTATCTATTACATAATAATCTTAATAATATTACCTAATAATCTTAATGTGTAGTTTTAAAAATGAAAGTAATTAACATTGAAATGTCGTATTTTTTGCATACTTTTACAAAACTGGTCAAGGTGTGCAAACTCTAAATATTGTCCAATCTTCTTGAAATTTTGCATACATAACTTTTACATCACTGACACTCGGGGCGTAAGCAAAGTCTACAAAAATTTTACATTTAATTTTTTTACTTACTAAATGAAATACCCTAATGTTTGTCTTTACAATTATTATTGTTATATTCGTACTTTTAACCTGTTATATTGTTAATTATAAAAATTTATATTGTTCATATTATAGTGTTATATTTAAATTGCTTTATTACATTACCATTGGCAAACTAATTGTCTTTTGTCATATGCCATGTAAATTCAATTTTCTTATTGTACCGCTGCTTGTTAGTTGATCATAAAATAAGTATACCCTAAACTACCCCTTTTTTTGATGACATTCTTTGAGATTAGTTTTTTAAAAGCTCTTTTCGAGTCCATCCCTGCGAAATCAGAACTGGAATTATTTAGTTCGAAAATTTGGAAACAAAGAGCATAGCAGCAACATTCCGACGCGAGTAAATTGCTGACGGTATCATTTTCAAGCAAATGTTTGCGAAACTTGTTATTTTCTAATGATTTAAATCGTCGAATGGCATTCACGGACTGTATCCGAGGGTTAGGCGAGTTTGTTTTAAATTGAACCCCCTCTTTTTATTACTCTCCCGGGCTCATTGTGATGAACGGCGAGACGCGAAAAAAGTGTGCGAAAAAAAAAATTCCAAACCTGCTTACCGATGAGCTTGAAATACCTTCTTAATTTGTTGTAACTAACACAAATTAAGAGAAAAGAGTGGAATGTAAAGAACATACCGTAGATTTTTAAGATTTATGATTCCATATTCAATGATGGGTTCTTGAATCTTTGTAATCAAAATACTGAGTTCTTATTCAAAGAAGCTGATAATTCTTTATAAAAAACTTACGAAACACAGTGTATTTTTTTATATTCTTTTGGTGTAATATATATTTTTATTAGTATACCAATATAATGTAAAATCCAATGTTCAAAAATGCACTTCAATCTACATTATAAATATGTTTGCCGTAATTCTCCCAGTGATTATCTTACAACTTTTTGGAAACCCTCTTATTTTTAGATAAGTGGCCTACTTTAAGGGCACATATCATTCCACACCCTTTCAAATATGTCCAGTTTTTTTTTTTTTTATAATTCCGCGACCTATAAAGTTTTACTTCATTTCACACCAGTTTAATCGTGTTAAGTTTGCATTAATATGAAAGAAGTCTTCAAGTATGTTCAGTTTTTTATTAATCGAAAGTTTTCTCGTATGGTATGGAGTATTGTCTAAAACTAACACATTATCTTCCTTCATAGAGGGTTTAGGCAACAAAACTCTTCGGTTGCTTACTGATGAATACATTTTCACCTCCAAACATACTCTTTTATTAAAATATTTTTATTTTGTCACTTTGACATTTTGGGTCATGGTTGGCTAGTGTCAAGACATTGCTCAGGTTTTTCAGGTACCTTTTCGTTCGGTAACGTTGCACTCAAGGTGGAGTAGGATGGTACCAAAACACCTCAAAGCATCAGAGAATTGTGCACGCATAGTAAATACAATATATACTAATAGATATCAATAGTATTGAGAAAGGTAAGTTCAGAAAATGTGAATTCTTTTTTGCTTATTTAATCATTTTATATAAAAATATGAATGATATAAAATATTTTAAACGTATTTATTTATTATTTGCTAATAATATTGCGGGTCATTTCTTGTTTTTTACTGAATTATTTTTATATGTACTTATTTTGAACATTGTATTTAAAAAAAAAGGGTGATATTACTTGCATTATAAGTATAAAGGTATCATTTGGGAAGGCGAGACCGCGACAGAAGACAACAGCATGCGATGGCGTGAAGCGACCGTAAACGATATATTTACTTCTGAACACATGTAATGAAACGAAACACATTTATGAGAGTGATGAAGGAGACGCGACACCACTTTTAACACGGTAATATTTGCTGCCTTGATGCTGTCGTCTGCCTCGGTCTCGCGTTCCCAAATGGTACCTTAAATGTAAATATGTTTGCGTAATTGGATGAAAAATAAGTTAATAATTCGAAATATTTTAAAATTATTTATTTGTAAAGACTAATATTGCAGGTAATTTCAAATAAACAAATTTGAATCAAAAATATTTCTTAAAAAATTATAAAAAATAAAATATTAAAATATAACTAATTTAAATCATAAAAAATTACAGTTTTTGCAAAGAGTCTAAAGTTCTTAAACATTTATTATTATTGTTATTATCGTCTTCGTTAAGTTTTATTCTGTTGTATATACAATATGTCCCAAATTGGTGCTGCATGTATTGCTATCTCGGTTATTGTAAGAGCTACAAAATCGGTTAAATGGGCAATGTTTCTCGGGATTCTTACCATTTCAGAACTGCTATTACATTTTGTCAGTTATTTTTGGTTTTTGAAAAAAATCGCGAAAAAACAAAATGGTGGGTATTTGACAGTCCTCCGTATCTCGATTATTTGAGAACTTTCAGTATTTTGGTCTAGACATTCTATGGCACTTTTTTAAGGTCTTTACAATAAAAAATAAAACAAAAGAATATCTTCTTGCGTTTTCGAGATATTGACTATAACTTTGTTTTTTCTTATGGACGCCATATTGGTTTTTTATTGCATTAAATAAACTGTTAATTCCCTTTTTAAAAATGTATCACAACATGGTACTTTCTTTGCAATGAATGCTGAATTAAACAAATCTGAAAATTTCCTAATTAATTTTTCTGCTCTGTTTAATTTGGTCTAGTAGGCGAGCCAACTATATGTTTTAGAACTGTCAAATTATAGTTGATTTAATTTGAACTTTATAAAAACCATATAAAAACAAGGATTTTGCGATAATTTTTGGGACAATTTACAATGCAAACAAGCTTCAGATATAAACTGTCTAATTTAAAGAAATTGTTTTATGTGGCCAACATTTTGATCACAACACATTTGACAACGATTATTGCCCTTAATAATGTGTTTATATTCACTGCACCCATAGCGTTTCAGACTCTTTCTTCTAAAACTGCAATATTTTCGGGAGCTTCAAATGAGTAAGTTTCGTTTTTAATGTGTCTCCATAAGAAGAAGTCAACGGAATTTATATCATATATTCTAGCAGGCCACAAAATGTCGCCATTATTCGCAATTCGATGAGCGGATGACTTAGGGATACCCGTTTCATTACCAATTTTTCTAACCGATGCTGTGGGATTGTTATTAGTGTATTGTAATACAGCATCAATCCTCTCGTCTTTTTCAATAGCATATTTATGATTTCTGGGTTTTTCAAAACTTCCATAATTTAGCAAATTTAATATCAGATCCCTAAAATGTCTTGCGTTTGGTTGATGCCATTCAGGAAATTTATTTTCATAAATTTCCGCAGCCGCTGTAGAGTTTCTGTGGGCTACGAAGTAAGTTTCTAACATTTTTAATTTGTCTTCATTGGTATACTTAAGAGTCATATTTGAAAATAATAACAACGTAACGGAAATTAAATTTAACAAAAAAAAAAAACAATTAACGAATTGAAAGTGAACGAATAAAATCTAATGTTAAATCAACTATAATTGGATAGTTATAAAACATATTTTTGGCTCGCCTACTAGACCAAATTGAGCAGAGCAGCAAAATTAATTAGGAAATCTTTAGATTTGTTTATTTCAGCATTCATTTGAAATAAATTACCATGTTGTGATACATTTTTGAAAAGGGAATTATCCATTCTATTTATTGCAATAAAAATCCAATATGGCGTCCATAAGAAAAAACAAAGTTATAGTCAATATCTCGAAGACGGAACGAGAATGTCTTTCGTTTTATTTTTTATTGTAAATACCTTATAAAAGTACCCGTAGAATGTCTAGACCAAAATACTGTATGTTCTCAAATAATCGAGATACGGAGGACTGTCAAAACCCACCATTTTGTTTTTTCGCGATTTATTCAAAAACCAAAAATAACTGATAAAATGTTCTGAAATGGTAATAGAATCCTGAGAAACATTGCCCATTTAACCGATTTTGTAGCTTTTATAATAACCGAGATAGCAATACATGTAGCACCAATTTGGGACACAGTGTATATTATGTGTGTATTGTTTTTTTTTTCTACTTTTGCTCGATGATGGTAGCCCAGACTCCTTTCGAAGTATTTCACTGTCTTGGAAATTGGATTTCAGTTTAAAATCGGAGAAACTTAATCTTAAACTCATAATAAGCTT